AGTGGATTTACCCTATTACTTATATAGCGCCCATGGCTAGTCTTGACTGACTGATTAGTGGATTTAACCTATTACTTATATAGCGCCCATGGCTAGTCTTGACTGACTGATTAGTGGATTTAACCTATTTCTTACATCGCGCCCATGGCTAGTATTGACTGACTGATTAGCGGATTTAACCTCTTTCTTGTATCGCGCCCCTGGCTAGTCTTGACTGACTGATTAGTGGATTTAACCTCTTTCTTGTATCGCGCCCATGGCTGGTCTTGACTGAATGATTAGTGGATTTAACCTCTTTCTTGTATCGCGCCCATGGCTAGTCTTGACTGACTGATTAGTGGATTTAACCTCTTTCTTATATCGCGCCCATGGCCGGTCTTGACTAACTGATTAGTGGATTTAACCTCTTTCTTATATCGCGCCCATGGCTAGTCTTGACTGACTGATTAGTGGATTTAACCTCTTTCTTATATCGCGCCCATGGCTAGTTTTGACTGACTGATTAGGGATTTAACCTCTTTCTTATATCGCGCCCATGGCTGGTCTTGACTGACTGATTAGTGGATTTAACCTCTTTCTTACATCGCGCCCATGGCTGGTTTTGACTGACTGATTAGTGGATTTAACCTCTTTCTTACATCGCACCCATGGCTAGTCTTGACTGACTGATTAGTGGATTTAACCTGTTTCTTGTATCGCGCCCATGGCTAGTTTTGACTGACTGATTAGTGGATTTAACCTCTTTCTTATATCGCGCCCATGGCTGGTTTTGACTGACTGATTAGTGGATTTAACCTCTTTCTCATATCGCGCCCAGTGGCTGGTCTTGACTGACTGATTAGTGGATTTAACCTATTTCTTACATCGCGCCCATGGCTAGTATTGACTGACTGATTAGCGGATTTAACCTCCTTGTATCGCACCCATGGCCTCAAAGTACGAATTGAGGTCATGCGGCAACAGAACGCGAACCATGAATCCTCTAAACCCCAATCCAACACTAACCACTATCATCTGGGTACATTTATCCTTACTTGTTCCTTTTATTTTATGCAGTGGTGAAAAACAAAAGGTTCACATATTGGATCGCTGTCTTTTCAGTAAAACCCTAAAATAATGTTGTTTACGTTGTGCCAAATTGTAATATAATGATGTAGTTTTAAATAGTTTGGACACGTGTGTGTGTTTTATAGCAAGGTCACATCAAGCTATCTGCTGAGTCCACCGAGTGGAATTGAACCCCTGGTTTTAGCGTTCATCAGTCCTTAGAGGATGTTTGTATAAAAAACATTAGCAACTTTGAATTGTGCCCTTCAGTGGCACAACGGTATGTCTGCGGGCTTATATTGCTAAAAACCGGGTTTCGATACTCGTGGTGGTTCAGAGCACAGACAGCCCATTTTGTAGGTTTGTGCCTAACTACAAACAACCAAACAACAACCCACCGGGGAACATTTTTGGACATGTATTAACTAGTCTATCAAGTACATAGAAAATAATTCTGCTCACAAAATTACTTACAGTAAATTGGTAAGCGTTGTGAGTAGTTAAAGCTCTCATTAAAAAGGAATTTCGTACATTCACAGTTCGGATTTACTCCAGCTAACTGCGGGGAAGTGAGAATCGTGGCAATACTAGCTTGAAAACAAAACCAAACGAGACAATACACACAAATAGAATTCTCTCGAAAGACAAGCGATAAAGAACGGCAACGAACGCCGAGTTCTGAAAGGGAAAAAAACAAAAACAACTTTGTAATTCAATGGGTGAAGCAGGTATAGCGAATGTAGAAGATGGCAAATTAATTTTCAGGTCCTTGGT